GCTGAGGCCGAGGCTGAGGCAGGCTGATACTCAGGCAGGCTGAGGCTGAGGCTGTGATTGCGAATGCCGTTGCCACTGCGACTGTCATCGCGAATGCGACTGCGACTGTGAGAACAGCAGAATTCTACAACTGGATTCTGATCTGAATCTTAAGGAGAATGCTTCCAGATATGCTTCTACACATCGGGATAATTTTTGGCAGGGCCCACACCTTCCAATGGCAGGCACGTGTACGCCCACGAAGGATTGTCCGCCCGTTCAGAGAACGAATTCCCCACAAAGGGGGTGTGATCGAAGACAAAAACAGCTGGTCTCGAGGGTGTGGGGAACCCGTGTTGAATAACACGCGGGCAAGTAAGAGCGAACAGCCTTATAATGATTGTGATTTGTGTTGCTGCTATTGTTGTTGTTGTTGGTGGTGGTGTTGTTGTTGTTGTTGGTGTTGGTGTTGTTGGTGTTGTTGTTGTTGTTGTTGTTGTTGTTGTTGTTGTTGTTGTTGTTGTTGTGGTGGTTGTGGTTGTGGTTGTGGTTGTGGTTGTGGTTGTGGTTGTGGTTGTGGTTGTGGTTGTGGTTGTGGTTGTGGTTGTGGTTGTGGTTGTGGTTGTGGTTGTTGTTGTTGTTGTTGTGGTTGTGGTTGTGGTTGTGGTGTTGTTGTTTTGTTTTGTTTTTGTTGTTTTGTTGTCGTCGTCCTCCCGCGGACCCACCGCGCGACCCACCCGCCGACCCACCCCGCGACCCGCCCGCGAACCAACGCGACCCCAACCCGCGACCCACCCGCGACCCACCCCGCGACCCACCCCTCGGACCACCCGCGACCCACCCCGCGACCCACCCGCGACCCACCCGCGACCCACCCCGCGACCCACCCCTCGACCCACCCGCGTCCCACCTCGTGACCCGCCCCGCGACCCACCCCGCGACCCACCCCGCGACCCCCCCGCGACCTACCCGCGACCCACCCCGCGACCCACCCGCGACCTGGCCCGCGACCCACCCGCGACCCACCTCGCGACCCACCCGCGACCTGGCCCGTGACCCACCCGCGACCCACCCCACGATCCACCCACATTGCTTTAGCGAGAAATCGGCGCATGCGGCGGGCTCACTGCATATTTTGTAAAAGTTAGGCGCCTGCGGCGGGCTTCATCGTAGCTTTTCAGTCTGACGACGTCCTCGCTGCCCCCTCACTCTTATCCGCAACTGCGGGCTGCTGCAAGCTACCCTCCTAGATAGCAGGCCGTCTAGCTCACATACGTATCGCCCGAGTGCCAACAGATCGCTCAGGAACGCCACGCATGCCATGCGCGCCGCGGGTTCCAGGTGCACCAGGCACCCTGGAGGCCCAAGCGTGTCAGGTGCGGCACATGCTCCAGCCGCGCCAGGTGCGCCAGCTACGGCGAACCAGTAGGGACCCCAGGTGCGGGGCCCTGCCCCCAAGGAGTTCAGGATCTCGAATCCCTCTGAAGCGAAATGCTGGACATTCTGTGAGAAGGTCGGTTGTGCCAGGGAGCGCAAAGCACCAGCACCGATTGACAAATTATGACATGCTGAGGAGTAGCGAAACAGATGAGAGATCAGAGAAAGAGGGCCCTGCGCATGCCCCAGGCCAAAATGTACATGTGTATTGTTTTTTGAAAGGGATGGTTGGCTTGTGCGCTGCCGATATGCTGGCACCCGCGCCGTCCATGTCAAAAACCTATGCGAAGTGGTCGCGGGGCGCCCGCGCATGCCCCAGATTTTGGGGCACGGTGAATTTGTTTTTTTGTTTTACAAGGGGTGGTGGGGGGGGGTCGTTGCTCTGGGTTGGCTGCCGGTCGCCAGGGGGAGGGGGGTGTTTATCAATAGGGAACAGTGTTCCAGCTACCCACAAGCCGCAAACCGTCTCGCTCATTCACACCTGCTCCCCCAACACATTAATAGCACCGGAGCGTCAGCATGCTCAGCGGTCGCCGTTAGATGGGCAGCCACTGGGAACCAATCTGGACGCCAGGTGCGCGACGCTGGTGAGGTGCACCACGCGCGCCATGCGCACAAGGTGCGGCGGTCGCCCCAGAGGCCCAAGGGTGCCATGCGCGCCTAGTGCGCCAGATGCGCCATGCGCTCCGCATGCGCCATGCGAAAGTGTGCCACGTGCTCTGTCCGCGCCAGGCGCGCCAGGGCACCTGTCGTCACACGTCCAGAACATGTCGGCCCCCCACCACGCCAGTCCAAAACTGATGCAGCACGGCGGCGGGGTGCCATCATGATGTACGGCATGTGCATTTTCAGCCACTAGGCATCACGTGGCATAGCCACAAGGATGGTGCTCCAGCTCAGACCACACAAAAGGCCCCCACTACCATGCCGTTCAATTGATGTCAGAAAACGTGGACCCAAGCAATGTGTTTCTAGCACTCTACATTGTAGAATCAATGTGGAGCAGTCTATATGGTGCAATTAATTTCTGTTCGCGAGGATTCGACGAAAGTATGCGGCAAAAAGGGTGTAAATGTACAATGTAAGTGTACAGTAGCACTTGCAATTAGTTAAGTGTACTAATTCAGTGTATTCGCTAAGTGTATTAGTCAAGCGTATGATTTTGATTAAGTGTATTAGTAAAGTGTATGAGTTAAATGTATGAGTTAAGTGTATTAGTTAAGTGTAAGTATGGGGACGGGCTGGCAGTAGAAGGGAGGAGAGGGAGGATCGGTGTGTATTAGTGAAGCGTTTTGCTTAAGTGTATTAGTTAAGTGTACGTGTGGAGGGAGGAGAGGGAAGGGGAGGAGACGGAAGGAGAGGAGAGGACAGGAGAGGATTAATACACTTAACTAATACACTTAACTCGTATACTGAACCAATACACTGAACTAATATACTTAACTAATACACTTAACTAACACACTTAACTAATTCACTTAACTGATACGCTTAAATAATACACTCAACTAATACACTTAATTAATACACTTAACTAGTATACTTAAGTAATACATATAACTAATACACTTAACTGATACAATTAACTAGTACACTTAACTAAATACGAGCACTACCGTGCACTGACACTTGCGGGGACTGGGGGGGCCCGTCCCTGGACCGAGGGGATCCGTGGAGGGACGGACGGGGGGAGTCCGTGCACGGAACGGGTTCTTTTTCCTGGGGCCAGCGGCTGGTTCGGGCGCGGGACTTCTGGGGACTGCGTATTGGCAAACTTTGGAAGTCGCACGGCTGGGGCTCGCCTTGGCCTTTTTGTCGAGCTCGCTTTCCATGTCGCTTTGCCCTCTGACTGACCTGGAGCAACGCTTGGCGCCGTAGTGCGTGCTGCGAGTTCAACTCCGTCTTGCGCACTATGTCTGGCGCCCAGAAATCAGCGTGCTCATCGTGTCGAACTCGCCGGGCACTTGTCGCTTGGCATCGACGTGGAAGACCTCGCATGGTTTTGGCCTCTTCTTCCTTGCCACCGAGGGTGGCCAGCGAGTGGTCTGCCGCCTGTGCCCACTTCATGTACTTGTCGCCTAGCTCCTTGCTGGCTTGACGCGTAAGCGTGTAGGCCGTACTCTGCTGCATCAGTTCATCAGGATTTGGTAATTCATAAGGTTCAGCTTGTTGCCTGATGACTCGCCACTGCTCATCCGAGACGGCAGCCAGCACCTGCTTCGTGAGCGTCGGCGAGAGGAGGTCATTGATCTGTTGGCGCTCTGCCTGCAACGCCAGCTGCTCATCAGCCAGGTCCTCTCCCATTTGGTCGCTCTGGTCGGTCATGTGTTCCGTGAGGCGCGCGTGCTTCTCGCGATCACGTCGCTCACGTTTGAGCCCCATTCTCCATGTGCGTCGCGCGGAGAGGTGCCCGATGAGCTCGAACTGGAGTCAGGGTCCGGAGTCTCGTGGGACGCCTAGCTGTCTTGACTTGTAAGCCGACGTTGGGACGCCGCGATACCTTGGTGACTGAATATGACGCTTCCCAAGTAAGGTCGAAAAGATGGTGGGCATAGGAGGCATCGGAGGTGGATAGTCCTCCTACCCTGACACGTCGATAAGGAATTGCGCAGTTTTCGCTGTTCGCGGGAGGGCGTCACGGCTCGTCATTTTTGCGGGTCCAGGTCACGTCGTGTTTCGGTCCCAGCACCGTTTCAATTTATTTTTTTCTCTTTTATTTTTTTTTAAAATTAAGGGGAGGTTTACTAAAGGGAGGTTTGTCCACCGCCGACGTAGTGCAAGGTGCGTCCTCGTCCACTTGAACACGTCGCTTCCACTCCCGCTGGCGCCAGCGGTTGCGCGGCCAACTTCTTGGCCCAAGGAGACTGCGAAGATGTTTGGGGTAACGTTCCACTCGCTCACCGTTGCCCAGGGGGTATCAATGCTGGCGACACCGGACATTATAGCCATGTTGTCTCAGGTTCGTCGGATTTTAACAGCCACCTTTGAGCATGACGAACACGAGTATCAAGTACAAGAACATCAAGAACCGATTAACCTAAATAAACCTTGGCACAATCTATCGACGGACAGGCAAAACACTTTCCATAGATACACCTACATTGCACTCGCGGATGCTGCTGGTGACCAGCAGCACAAGAGCAGCGGTCAGGTATGCTCGTCTGAATCTGGAAGTTAGCGAGGGTGTCGGCCTAGCATCCGTGCATGTGTTGGACGGTGTCGGCGTTGAGTCCAAAGGGCCTCCACACGAACAGGATCAAGAGGTGTCGGGCTCCGAATATTGGCAATGCAGCCTGATCAGCGGCAACAGTAGCGTGAACAGTGGGGCAATAGCTATGACCGATTGCTGAGAGCCAGTGCCGACATCGTTCACAGATGGGGAGCGGGTGGCATATTGACGGTGAGTGGGAAGCGGGAGGGGAATGGGGAGGGGGGAGGAGCACAGGCGTCAGTGGCGGACAGAGGGGAAAGCTGAGAAGAAGAGGCTGGGGAGGGGTGAAGGGGAAGGGAGGGGAGGGCGGGACGCGAGGAGAGCGAGCGTGGAAGGGCATGGCGAGAGCGGGCTTGCCCCTGCTTTCCCGCAGGAAGCCCGTTCGGCACGCACCGCCGCCGCGGGCCCCCGCCGGCGCTTTGGCGTACGGCTGCGGACCAGACTCGCCACGGGAGACGACCGGCGGGGCATTGGGCTCGTCGGCAGGCCGCGCGGGACGGTCTGCTCTCGAACGTTGGGGGCTCACAGGCGAACCCTGCCCCTACCCCCCACGAGTTCTGCGGGGGAGGGGGAGGTTCACTTCGTTCGGGGGCTCGCGAGCGAAGTGGACCCCACCCTCCCCCTCGGAAATCGTGGGGGGTAGGGGTAGGGTTCGCCTGTGGCCCCCTAAACGTGCCCAGCCACTTGCTCGACGTTCCCCAATAGCTCGCCCGTTGTGGTGGCTCCGTGGTGAACGATTTCGTGCAAATTCCATTGCCGACGGCCTCGCTGATGCGAGAGCCGCCCAGGTTCAGGTCCCAACAGCTAAACAGCTGTTGTCCCAACAGCTGTTTAGCTTTAAAACATTTCGAGCACCAAGAAAGTATCGAAGCTGGAGGTTTTCGCGTGTCGGGCCCTGTGAGGCGATACTCGTTCGACATTGTTTCGATACTTCTCTGGGTTCTCGAAATGATGTCCGTGGTGTGGTCCTTCAGTGCGATACGGCGGAGGCGTGGGTTGAGGAAAGCGCCCAGGAGGCTAGCAGACCCTGGAGGAATTCCTGATCTGATGATGGGTTCGGCGGGGGATATGGCGCCACGCTTTCGATTGGAGTTCCTCACCGGATGCCAGACCATGGATTCCTTCTTTTTTTTTTTTATTTTTTTTTTTTTTTTTTTTTTTTTTTTCATTTTTTTTGTTGTTTTTTTGGTTTTTTTTCTTACTCAGGGTTCCTTGGTCCAATAAGCCCGACCGTCTTCCGTAAAAAGGGAGGAATTGGTTCAAGTCGTGCCGTTTTACCTCTGGCACAAGGGCTTGAAGTCTCCTGGCGTGGGGGAGGCGCGCCCCCGCCCGCGATCCTGCGGCCAGGTTGGCTGCAGACATACTTGTGTGAGCTCCTGTCGGAGCAGCTCCCGTGAGGAGCACCGTACCCTGCAACGACGTCCAGGATTTGCCTCCTGGTGCTCGCCCCATGGCTCCTGCTCCTGCGGCCGTGCGGCCTCCGTGGTGGAAGCTGCCGACCAAGTTCGTGTCCCCACCCTGGGGAGGGCAACAGAAGCACCAGTGGCAGGCATGGCGGGACATCGGTTCCGACGACGACCTCGAGGGCTGGCACCAGGTGGGGCAAGCTGGAGGAGGGCCGTGGTGCAGTAAGTGCGGCTGCAAGAAGAACTCCAAGGGCAGCAAGTTCTGCAAAGCCTGCGGCCATAAGCTCTCGGACATCAGCCCAGCCGTCGCTGCCGAACCCGCTGGGGTCTGGAGCGAGCAGCGAAGACAGCACGGGGATGCCGATGGCAAGGACGGCAAAGGCGGCAAGAAGGGCAAGAAAGGCAAGGACTCGGGCAAAGGTGACGGCGGCAAAGGTGGTAAAGGGGGCCGTGCTGAGGGAGCAGCAGGCGGTGACCCAGCCAAGCTTCCTCGAGCGCCTGGTGCACAGTTCCTGGTGGCCCAGGAGGGACCCTCGGTGGAGCTTGAGTTCCACGAGCTGGAGCAGCTGGTGGCCACGCTGGAGAAGCTGGGCGACACGGTCAGCCTCGCGAAGCACAGGCGCACCCTTCAAGAACGGCGACGACTCCAGCAGGAGGCGCTCTATGTGCCGCCATTGTCGCAGAGAGTCACGCAGGCCCACAAGCAGGTGCAGGACATCGCGCAGAAGCTGGAGAAGGCGGTGCTGCACTTCGAGCGGCTCGAGGAGGGCCTCGAGAGCCAGAGGCGGTGGGTCCAATCTCTTTGCGAGGACATGGAATCGAAGAAGGCTGAGCACCGCAAGCTGGTGGTTGAGCTCAATCGTCAGATGGTCGACATCAGCAAGGACTCAACTCCGTCAGTGGCCCCCATCAGTGTGGCTGGCATCCTCGACGGCTCCATCGAGGAAATTCCTCTTTCGTTTGCTGGCCTTGGGTTCGACGACGAGGAATGCGAGATGGATGCAAATGACAAGAAGGAGCTGGCAGATCGCAGCGCCCGCCTCAAGAGCGAGCTGTCCAACGCCGTCAAGCAAATGTTCGGGCAGGCGGCAGAGAAGGCCAAACTCTTCAAGGAGGAGCAGGACGCCATGGCTCTACGGCTGGCTGGGAAGAGGCGGCGTCAGGGTTCAGGCCCTGGAGACCCTGGCTCAGCAGGGGCGGCCGCTGCAGGATCAGCTCCGAGAGGCAAGGGCGGCGAGGCAGCGGACTCCGACGCGACGACGCCGTCGCCTCCCTCCGCAGCCAAGCAGTCGCCCAAGGAGGAGGAGTCATCCAGAGACAACTTCGAGCAGAGGGCGGCCAGTATCTGTCGCCCGCCGCCCCCTCAGGCGGACTCTGCCTGAGGGGGCAGACCCAGTTGACGCAGAGGCTGAGGGTGATCGGCGGGCGCCCTTGGCCGAGGCAGCTGGATCTCTTCGACCAGCGGACCGTTTCTGGAGCAACAAGTCCGTGGACCTCGACTGGCCTCAAGTCGGGGGGTTTTGGGTCCCTGCCCTGGCCCGCCCAGACAAGGGGGCAACGCTGATCGAAAGGCAGTACTGCAAGCCGCTGTGCGCCGTGCCCGAGGCAGTCCTGCCCGAGCCCTTGGGGCAGAGGCCAGCGGCTATGGGGCCCCCACCCGATGCTGCTGACCCGGAGTGGCAGGCCATCCAGGACTTCAACGACATGAGGGCTGACCTCAGGGACTGGGCTGCCGCCTGGTTTGACTCTCACACTGAGCTGGAGACAGACAGCGGGCACTGGAGGCGCTGGCGCAAGGCTTTCCTGGGCGCGATGCTCGCGGACGGCGGGAACGAGCCGCTCAGGCGCCTACTGAGGATCTGGTTCCCAGGCTGGCACTTGGACAATATCCTGGACGAGCTGTGCCTCAGCGGCTGGAGGCAGTCAGAGCCCCGCCGCATTGCCTTTCTGGTCAGGCTCAACAGTGCCCAGCCTCTGGATCGGTGGCGACTCGAGCACGCGCACTGGAGGCAACTGGCGCAGATCAGGGCCATGTTTCGCCGACTACTTGGGGACAGAGCTCCTGGAGACCCAGTGCCGCCTCAGAGGCCTGGTGGGGGAATGGAGTCGGACCCTACTCGTCGGCCTGACCCTGATGACGACCGGGCGATGGACTACGTCGACAACCTGACGGCGAAGCTGCTCATGCTGTCGCACGCGCCCTCGCAGCCGCCTCCTGGCGGCAGGGCCTGTCCCAGCCAAGCCAACCTGCACGTGGTGCAAGCCAGCCTTGGGTCGCCCTGGTCAGCAAAGGGAGCCTCTTCGGTTTCGCGGACTGCGGTGTCAGAATGCATCCCTGGACAAACACGCCAGAGCAAGGTAAGACCTGGTCCCGAGTGCTCCTCGAGCTCGGGCCAGGCTCAGTCGCCACCCGCTGGATCAAGACCCTCGCCTGTCGAGAGGGTCGTGGGTGCTGCAGACAGTCCAAGCTGGGACTCAAGAAGCTTTCTCAACTCCAGTGTCACGGTGGACACCCTGGGCCTCCGATCTGTCCCAGAGCTGCAGAACACCAAGGGGGGCGTCTTGCCACAGAGGGAGGGGCCGCTAACGCTCTGCTTGGCCAAGCTGGCGGCGCCGCCTGTGGCTAGCCCAGCGTCCTTCATCTCTTCGAATGGCACGACATGGAAGGAGGCGCAGACGGAGCTTGAGCGCCTCTCGGACTCTGGCTTGAAGGGCGATGTCTACCTTATCCAGGAGACGCGCTTCACGGGGAAGGAGAAGGAGAGCGAGGCCATCGGATGGGGCACTCGCAACGGCCTTAACGCTTCATTCAGCCCATGCAGGAGAACGGGAAGCTCGGCCCAGTCGGTGTCATCGGGGGTTGGCTGTCTTGTGGCGGCACACAGAGGATCAGCACCCGTGGACCATGACTGGGGTCCTTTCTGCTCGCGGCTTCTCGCTCGCAGGGTGGTATTCGGGGACTTGATGGTGATCGTGGTCAGTGCCTACCTGGAGCACTCCGCCAAGATGACGGGCACAAGCGTGGAGCTGCTGAGCGAGCTGCAGGTCTTCCTCAACTCTCAGTGCGAGCCTTTTATTGTGGCAGCTGGCTGGAACATGGAGCCGCAGCTGTTAGAGAGCTCGTGGTGGCCGCGTTCTGTGGGCGGGGCAGCCGTGGCGCCCAAGTTTCCTACCTGCTCAGTGACCTCGGGGAACGATCGTGTATACGACTACTTCGTGATATCGGCCTCCCTTGCGGCTCTTAGCCCAACGGCAGAAGTGCTTCGGCCAACGTCTACACACCCCCATGCTCCAGTGCGTCTTACTTTCAGCAAGCTGGGGGCCCATGCCAAGGTCTGGGTACTGCGAGGCCCCAAGCGATTCGACCTGTCGACGCACATCTCGGACGAGGCCCAGCTGAAGGCGGTGGAAGACGCCCGGGACATAGTCTGGCAGGCGGCCCTGCCCGCTCCAGGCGCGGGGCCAGACGAGGCAGTGCGAGAGTTCTTCGACAAAGCGGAGACCCACCTGATTGGCATGTTGGGTCTCAGTGACGGCCCCAAGTACCGTGGCAGAGCGGACGGACTCAAGCGGGCAGAGATCAGCCTCAAGGACCTCCAGCGTACTGAGACTTCCAGAAAGGTAAGCCCTTTGACGAGGTTGTGGCTTTCTCTCGGCAGGCTGGTCAAGCAGCTCAGGGCGGCAGCTTCGGTCTCAGAGCCAGCAAAATGCCATGCGCTATACATGAAGCACCTGGAACGGGCGATCCTCTCACTGGCAGTTCAGTTCGGCAGCTTGGGCAACCCGATGTTCAACGGCACCAAGATGGAGACGATAGCCCACGAGGTCAGGAGCGGCTCCATGGAAGGGCTGCAGGTGTTGAAGGCCATCGCCAGGGTCACTGACAAGCACGTCAAGGGCGATGCGTCTGCAGCTAGGACCCGCTGGAAGGAGTTCGTGGACGAGTCGCTGGCGGGAGGGGGGCGTGGAGCTCGTGCCATATAGCAAGAAGGTCCACGGCGAGGCGAAGCCGATCTTGGCGGACGGCAGCGGCGACTCGCCTCCCGTG